TCAACTGAAAAAGAGTTGACACATGGTCAGATTGTGGTTGCATTCGAATGGCTAATGTATCCGCATCAATAATGTTTCCATTTCAGTCAAAATATTCTATTCCTGTTCTATTTCAAGGAATAGAACAGAACTTTCCAAGAAATGGACGCGAAGCACAGAACGAAACAAACCAACTGAAGGGCAGAATAAAGCACTTTCCCTAAAGTGTGGAATAGAAACATCATTAGTCGACATGCTAGTCGAGTGCTTTTTCGTCAACACTTTTCCACATACTCTCTCGAAAGCGCTAGATATTTCGACAGTTTTACGCTATGCCCAAGGAACTGCTGCCACGTTTATGGATACCTCAAAATACCAACCAATATTTCAGAGCATTAACGGATTAACCGGGGATCTTCGTCGGATAAGTGGCGATCCTACGCATTGTAATTTCTCGTTCAGAATTCTATTGCTTGGATATAATGGAACTATTGACGATGTAAGTTATAAGAGCTTTTTCGAATAAATTTAATGCGAATCAAAACAAAACATGTTAGGTGTCATCATGAGTTGATGGAGCTTACTTTAAAAGGGAACATGGAATGAAATGCAAACCATGGAATCCCGAATTGATTCGTCTGAATTCGTTCATGAAATTCAATTACGATTCACCGGTAAGCTATCGCATAATTTCATTGGTATGAGGATAAATGTTGCATCATCAATCAGCTTGCTAATGAATTCTTTTGCTTCTTCGATTCGTTCATCCCGCATCACTCATCCACACCTAGATCGGCTTTTGGGAACCCGAAAGTGATGTTCATGTGAATATGTCACGTGATTCTCGTGCCCAGTTACAACGAAACGTGCAGGTTTCTGATGAACTGAAGCCGCATTTCAGAGTGACTACGATCATGGTTAGTTTTAGCACTCGTTCATTTTTCATGTTGCGCTGAATAAATGTCCAGTTTATAAATAAGTGAGACAGCATTTCAGATATCCCTTTCGTGGATTTTCCTTGAAAAATGTTATTGTGAAAATATTTTGATCGAGTGGAACTGTTGAAAGGAGTCATGTTTAAAAGTCATATGACAACCTCCTCCCGCTCACCAGGGCTTTCTTGGAATCTTCCTCCGTGGGTGCACGTGCGGGAGAGGGATTCATTGAACGGTTACGCCACTGGTCAGAATTATCAAATTTCTGTAATTTTATGTTCTCATATTTCTAAAATGGAACGGGATCACGACTCTGAGCATGCTCGAGATTAAGTCCGAGTGCAAGCCTAAGCATGAGCCTGAACTTAAAGTGACAATCTGAATCTGGGCCTTATCTTACTTGACAAAATACATTTCGACCAAATGTTGTGCAGTAGCGCCGGTTTATTCTTCTGTTATCCTCATGAAAGAGGTTGAATTTGGACGTGACGATTATGGAAATGGTCATAGCTCGACTGATGTCAGTAATTGCTTGCCAAAATGTATATATGTCGAAAACGACGGATTTTTAACGAAACCATCATAAATTATTATTAAGCATTTGCAAGTGCTTTATTGTTTTGTAAAGATAATGTTGAATAATATGTTGATTAGTTGTTTTCAAAAGTAAGGAGGCATTTGCAATCTCGTATTCATTACTGCTATCTAACAAACATTATTATATGGTTTATACGTAATCGACCCAATTTCGTTTTTGACGGTTTTTCAAAATTCGGAACTGCAAAATTGGATTTTGTCGGATTCTGGCTAACCTAATTTTTCGTTGGGTTAACATTATATTCCAATTGGGCTTTTGTAGAATAGATTTCAAATGAAGAAGAATTCTGAGACTCACTTCAAGCCTTCACTGAGTCTTAAGTTCATCTTCGAATAGATTCACTCTGAGTCCGACACTCACCTCGTGCTCAGGTTGAGATTAATCACAAAGCTGCAGTTCATTGCGTGTACGGGTTGAGGGTCATAATGAAGCTGAGACTCATCCCAGGTTCACACTGAATTTGAGACCTTAGGCTGAGTCTTCTCACAGGAACGATGCTCACTCTGCGCGTACGTTGCTAATGATGATATTTCATTATTTAGAGTCCTTGGTCTACGCGGTATTATTGATTCGTTGAATTGCAACAGATTTTGCATGTTCTCTAATCTCGCTTTTCAAGTGGGCTCAAGCAGCCTCTTGCCGGGTGTTTCTTCCAACTTTTTTGTAATGAGTCACGCGATCGCAAGAGAATCATATACCGAAGTTCCCACGAGTGCACTCACGAAAGGGGGAGGGAAGGATTGGTCAAGGTTTCGAACTTTAATGCATATAATTGAATCGATCGTTTGCAATATTTTCGTTAAGTTTTTTTAGGAACGACCATATGTTATGCTGAAGAAGAACTTCTATGAATTGAATGAGAATTCTCGTTTAGAGGGATTTTGCATCGACCTTCTTGCACAACTCTCTCGAGATCTTGGTTTCACTTATACTATTCGTCTAGTTAAAGATAGAAGTTATGGAAACGATATTCATGGCAACGGAACTTGGGATGGTATGGTTGGTGAAATTCTACGTGGAGTAAGTCGATTTGGTCGAATTGTACATTCAAAATGTTATTATTTACAAACTTTTTCAGGAAGGTTTTTAATAGACGTCTAGCGTAGTTGTGGTTTTTAAGATGCAGAAATTATGTTTTTTAGGAAGCAGACATGGCTGTGGCACCTTTAACGGTGAACTTCAAACGAGCCGAGGTTGTTGATTTCACGAAACCATTTCTTTCGTTTGGCATCAGCATTCTTTTCAAGATACCTGCCGATAATCAACCAGATGTTTTTTCTTCACTAAATCCATTGCCACTGCAAATATGGATATGTATCCTCGTAGCGATATGTGAGATTCATTTATTCATAGCAGAGTTTCATATCGGTCAAAAACGTTTCATTTAAAAACGCTTAGAAGATCAAACTTGGCTCGCCCATTGTACACATTGATCATTAAGCACGTATCTCTTTTTAGAAATATGATCTGTTGATCTAATCGAATGACAATCTTGTTTGGTGGCCTTTTTGCGTGCACTTGAACCCTTTCATGGAAAATCATTTTTAAGGAATCAAAATTGTTTCTAATAAAAGTGCCTAACTCAAGCATGTTCAGTCGGTCTAACACTTGGTATGTACACAGTGGCACATTTAACACCATACGAATGGAATCTTAACTTTTCTTGTTGCACTGCTCACCAACCACATCCAGCAGCACAATTCTCGTCTTCAACTTCACCAGTTCAACTGTCCAATAACTACAGCTTTTGGAATACACTATGGTAGCAAAAGATAATTGTTTCACTTACTGTAACGTTTTTTGTTCAGGCGCGTGGCACTGATGCGATTATCAAATTTGCATGTGCGATTATCAAACTTTAATGAACTTTTTGGTTCACAAAAAATGAAGTAGTTAATAGGAAATAATTTTTTCAGGTACGTAATGAGTACAATGCTAAAAGGCGGTTGTGATTTTGGACCACGAGCCGTTTCAACCAGACTGCTTGGTGGTGTGTGGTGGGTTTTCACGTTGGTTATTGTTTCTGCCTATACAGCCAATCTAGCGGCCGTGTTGACCGTTTCAAGACCATTCATCCCGATAAAGAACTTAGATGACCTCGCCAATCAATCAGCAATTTCATACGGTATCATTCGAGGTGGATCTACTATGCAGTTCTTCCAGGTTTCCATTAGTCTCTTAACACATTGAGAATTGTTCTTCATATTCACAATAATAATCAGACGATCTCAGAATGTTATTCTAAATCAATTACTGCCAAAGAATGCTTTGGCATAGATCATTCATGATATATACCTATCGCTTTACACTATTGAAAGTATCGTTCTTTGGTATATTGCCTTCTCATCTGTTAGTATTTTTTTCTCATTCAATGAATAATTCTTGGAAATCAGGAATCGAAAATCAGCAGTCACGTAAAAATGTGGAATTACATGAAGGATCGAGATGTGTTTCTTACAAATAATGCAGAAGGAGTTGAGAAAGCGCTCAACGAAAACTATGCGTTCTTGATGGAGTCAATCTCATTGGAATATGAAGTGCAACAAAATTGCAATCTCACTCAGATCGGTGGTGTCTTAGGTTCAAAAGGTTACGGTATCGCTCTAGGAAAAAGTAGGTTTTGACTGTGTGCCCTAGGATGATTGTCACTGAACGCAATCTTAATCTATGAAGTACTTCACTCAGTCAGATCACTTCTAGTACTAATCTCTTGCGAGAAATTGTATTTCGGGCACTATTCAGATTCTGTGCTTGAAAGTCCTCCTTACACCAGCAATGGGCAAGTCACTTTTAGAATCTGAATGGACTGATCGAATTTCGCGTCAAATTTTACTGTATGCAAAAAGAGGCGTCATTGAAATGAAGAAAACTAAATGGTGGCGTTCAAGGTAACTTCTTTCGTGGTCATTTTCCAAGTGTTTCCTATTCTAATCTATCAAAAAAATGAAATATTCATGCGATCGGATGTACTTTTTTCATTCTGTTTTACCCAGTTATATTTCTTCCGCTGCGAAATGTAACGTTGGTCTGCTGAAGGCGATCAATAATAAGAAATTCGATGATCGATCACTCCTTAAGAAAATGACTGCTTACAGAGGAGCGCCATGTTCTGGTGCGAATTCCGCAATGCCACAGCATCGATTCGCCTTGAGTATGCACAATGTAGCTGGTCTTTTTATCATTCTTTTCGTTGGGCTTGTTCTTGCGTTTTGCACTGTTATTATCGAGTTCTGTATTCGAAGCAGGCAAGTCGCTAAACTGGAAAAGGTGAAACTCATTTGATTTAGTCATCAAAATTTTACTGCTGTAAAGTTTGTCAAGATTTGGCCATCGTTTAGTCACTTTTTTTTACGAATTCTATATTATATTAGGGTGAAACAGTTAACGAGACGTTTTTGAACAGATGCTAATAGATTGAATGCGCATTATCATGACATAGTGATTATTATGCTGATGAGCAAAATAAAATTTCAGAGAGCATTCTATGAGGAAGTGTTAGAAGAACTAAGATTCGCTCTTAATATAAACAGTGTTCATGAGCATCGCAGCAGAAAGCAACGATGTCTTTCTAACAAACAAGACATTGCAAGGAACACTTCGTTGCGACACACATAATTCATCCAATTGATGATGACTAAGTGTTATATTATTCTTCTTCAATACCTGTCCCTGTTTGTTCTTTGTCCTTTCGGGACCGTTTTTCTTTATCTGTAAATTTAGCAGTGAATATTATTTCAAAGAATACTCTCAAAGTATTATAGCATATCTACGCATCATTCGCATTATTTCTTTTTTTTAAATAAACGTTTGAAGCAGCTGATTTTGAGTTCAGGTTCCAGAAACAACGGTATATTTGTTTTTAAAAGGTGCTGAAACTACCTTGTTTTGATTACACAATTGTCTTTCAGTTTATCACTTCAAAACGAAATGTACACATTTTTGCAACAAATTTACTTTTTTGCATGTCCACTCCTATACGTGAGAAATTATACGCGAACGAAATGTTCACTTGTTAGATAAAGCGTTAAGTGAAGTTGGGAAAGAGTGCTGGGTTATGGTAATAGAAGCGTAACGCAAAAGTAAATAACGACGAAACCACTCATGTTGGCGCATGATTATTTCGGTGAACACGATCAACAGTTCGTGATAATGTGATCAGGAGAGTGCACACTCCAAATTTGAAGTGCAGTGGTAAGAGAATTGCAGACGGAGCCTTAATCCATATCGTAGCCTAGTAATTAAACGACGGCGTACAAAATATGAATGAGACAGTTACGTTGAAACGATTGAAATGCAGAGCAATTATTTATTTGGTAAAAAATTATGCGTATAGTAGACGACACTTGAAAATATTTGTCTTACAGCGATGAAGCCACTAACAATAAGATGTGAACTGATTCATACTCTTAGTGTGTATTCTTGGAACGTGATCGGTTCATTTTATGTTTAAATACCGTCGAGTTCAACACAAAGTTACAGTTCTTAAATTAACAAACAAAAAAATAATATCGCAGGCAAATTCACTGCGCTCAAATTGAGTGCTCCATAAAACGGGTTTCTTTTCGGGAATAATTGTTTTTTTTGCAAAAAAAAAGGTTGAATGGATCCATTAATGATCAAAATAAGCTATGCGAATGACGAAAGGAAGCATCGATGTGAGATTCGTGAGCGATGAATGATGATTCCCGATGAACTACAGCTAAAGAGGATGTTGAGCGATATTTTTCTTTTGATTCTGTTGAGAACACCTTAGAATAATACACTGATTTAATGTGAAGATAATAGATCACAAAGACGTTTTGAGAATGAATTATGCGAATATTCAAGCATACGGTCCGAGCTTAAATATCG